GGGCCTAGGCCCTCCCCTGTGTGTCTGGGCTGAAGGATTATCCCTCTATGTAGAATGGGCTCCCAAAGTCCATTCCTATGAGTGGATAAGAACTGATCTATTACCAGAGGATCCATAGATTTCCAAGGCCTCCTCACTGACACCCACATTCTTGGGGGTGGGGACAGTGACATGCTGGTTTCCCAGCTATCAGTCTGGGGTTCATGAGCTCCCCCTTGTTCAAGTCAGCTGTTTCTGTGGGTTTCACCAGCCTGGTCTTTACCCCTTTGCTCATCACTCTTCCTTCTCTGAAGCTGGATTCCAGTTCAGTTCAGTGTTTCGCTGTGGTGTCTGTTTCTACTTCCATCAGCTGCTGGATGAAGGCTCTAGGATGGCATATAAATTAGTCATCAATCTCATTATCAGGGAAGGGCATTTAAGGTAGCCTCTCCACTGTTGCTTAGATTGTTAGTTGGTATCATCCTTGTAGATCTCCAGACAATCCCCTAGTGCCTGATTTCTCTATAAAGTTATAATGGCTACCTCTATTGTGGTATCTCTTATCTTACTCTCCTCTTTTCTTCCCCCCACCCAACCTTCCTGCTCCCTCGTGTCCTTCTTTCCCCTCCTCTTCTCCCCTTCTCATTCTCCTAGCTCCCTTACCCCTCCCTCCATGCTCCCAATTTGCTCAGGAGATCTTGTCCCTTTCCCCTTCTCTGGGGGACCATGTATGTCTCTCTTACTTCTCTGGCGGTGTGGATTGTAGGCTAGTAATCCTTTTTGCTCTCTGTCTAAAATCCATATATGAGTGAGTACATATCATGTTTGTCTTTTTGTGACCGGGTTACCTCACTCAGGATGGTTTCTTCTAGTTCCATCCATTTGCCTGAGAATTTCAAGATTCCATTTTTTTTTTCTGCTGAGTAGTACTTCATTGTGTAAATGTACCACATTTTCTTTATCCATTCTTAAGTTGAGGGCCATCTAGGTTGCTTTCAGGTTCTGGCTATTACAAATAATGCTGTTATGAAAATTGTTGAACAGATGTCCTTGTAGGAATGTGCTTCTTTTGGGTATATGCCTAAGAGTGCAATTGCTGGATCTTGTGGTAGACTCATTCCCATTTTCCTGAGGAATTGCCATAATGATTCCAAAGTGGCTATACAAGTTTGCCCACCAGCAGTGGAGGAGTGTTCCCCATTCTCCACAACCTTTCCAGCATAAACTGTCATTGGTGTTTTTTATTTTAGCCATTCTGACAGAAGTAAGATGGTACCTCAGAGTTGTTTTGAGTTGCATTTCTCTGATGGCTAAGGACGTTGAGCACTTTCTTAAGTGTCTTTCAGCCATTTTAGTTAGACTCCTCTATTAAGAATTCTCTAGTTCTGCACCTCACTTTTTAATTGGATTATCTGGTGTTTGGGTGACTAGTTTCTTGAGTTCTTTGTATATTTTGGAAATCAGCCCTCTGTCAGATGTGGGGTTGGTGAAGATCTTTTCCCATTCAGTGGGCTGCCATTTTGTCTTGTTCACTGTGTCCTCTTGTTCACTGTGTCCTTTTAGGTCAAGCATTCTTAATAACAAGTCTCCATGTCATGATTTGGGATCTGGTTGGTAGCTCCAAAGAAAAAGCCCGGTACAATATGTATATTACTAAAATCTGATGCATAATGGGAAGGAACATGAACCATTGATCATGCTACTTACATTGTCCAAGTCTTTCCAAACTATATCCCTAGTCACTGAACTCCAGTCTTTGAACCTCATAAAAAGTAACCACAATGAGTGTCCTCATTCATACGGCAGGCTGTAAGTCTCAATAGTGTACCGGTCCTGAACTGTCACCTAGTTTTGAATGAAGTCACCTTGCTGCTTTGTAAATTCTGTATGTGCCCTTACATCAACCTTTTGAATAAGAGGCCAAGAACCTAGGCACAGGCAGCCCAGACCTAACCCCAGTAACCTTTTTTGTCAAGCCAGCCAGGAGCCAAGAAAACATTTTTTTTCTGTCTTATTGAAGAAATCCCTGAACTGTGGTCTAGTGCTTTTTCATTCCAGTGCCTGTGGTGACAGTTGGCCCAACCAGCCAGCTTTGTCAGAGAGCTGTCAGTCCATTTAACAGAGTCATGTCAGTTCATGGGAGCTGTTTTTTATCTTTGTGTTGTTTTGTGCCCTGAGAAGGAACTTTATAAAAATCATTAATGTCCTAAAAATAAACTATTTTTTGACATATACCTAATTTTAAGATCTCTCTCTCTCTCTCTCTCTCTCTCTCTCTCTCTCTCTCTCTTTCTCTCTCTCTCTCTCTCTCAGGTGTGTATATGTGTGTGTAAATATAAACACTTGGGGATGATTTCTCAAAATGTATTATTATGTGTGTTTGAGTACCAGCTGTGCACAACACAGCACACACATAAAGCCACAAAACACTTTCAGGAGTTAGTTATCTCTTTCCACTTTGGGATTCAGGAATCAAACATAGGCTGTTAGGATTGTACACAGCAAGCACTTTTCACCCCTGAGCTGTCATGACAGTCCAGGGATGACTTTTTAAAAAGTTTTTTTTACATTTACATATGTGTGTGTATGTATGTCTATGTCAAAGTATACATGCAGAGGTCAGAGGACAATTTGCAAGAGTTTGTTTTCTTCCACCACAAGCCTGGGAGAATTCATAAGGAGGCCTGAGGTTGATGTACGTATGTGCATATATATGTATGTCTATCTATCTATCTATCTATCTATCTATCTATCTATCTTTATAGAGCTGAGAACTGGATGTAGGGCCTTACTATATCTTATTTTTTCAAAGTCTACCACTGAACCTAGAGCTTGATTGGCTCGAAGCTAGTCTGGCCAGTGAGCTACCAGGATCTTCTTGTCTCTGCCACTCAGTGCTGGGATTACAGACACACTCCACCCAGCCCATTATAAATGCATGTCAGTATTTAGCTATGAAATAAAAGGCAAAACAACTGTTAGGAAAAGGATATCATTGAACAAAGTTTGTACATCCAAGGAAAGGGGCTCACAAAACAGGTATGTCCCAAGCTCGGACAAGGTGCTTCCTTCCTAAGGCTGGTGTCATATTTTACTGGTGGAGGGTGCTTGAATCCACAGCCTTCAGTAGGCTCAGCACACACTCACCTCTGGCCATGTCTTCAGTCTCCAGTGTGTGTTTTTAGGAGGCTGATATAGGGCTGAGGATTTGGGAAAATGGCAGAGTGCTGGCTCAGCACACATGAAGCCCTGGGTTTGGTCTCCTGTACTTCCACCAAAAAACATCCCCAAAGAACTAACTTTTAACTCCCCTCCAAAGGACATAACTTTTATCAGATGTAACCTAATGTGACTTATTCAACTTTTCAAAGCCCATTAAAGTGAGAATGGTGTGTGTAAACATGGTTGTAAGGAGTTAAACAAAATATGTTGAGTTTCTATTTGTTATGTATTAGACTTAATGATAGCTACTTCTAATAGGACTGCATTCTGTGCCATGCTTTCCTTATATTAATAGAATATAAAGAATGACTTGTCCCTCATATTAGTAGAATGGCAAAGTAAAATCTACTACTGGTTGAGGGGGCACTGAAAGGAGTAGAGGGAGGGGAAACTGAGGTCCAAATGTATGAAAGAGTAAAAAAATAAAAACAACAAAAGACCTATAGTCCATAAAAGATGAACGCTGCCTCTAGATCCAACACGTCCAGGGCCTTCTTTCCTATTTCTCCTAAAAACTGGTTTGCATAAGCAGGGGCCTGGAGACCGTATGCCCTTCTCTCCGTCAGTAGGCAGAATTATGAGATGATAATTTGACTGCATAGGGAATCCTTACAACAATACTTCCGGGTAGTGGGGTGTGTCCACCCCCTTCTGGGGAATCAAGGAACTGCAAGCACTCCAGAAGCCCTTCCACTTTCATTTGTTCATTTAGGTAGTAAGACACCTTCCTGTGTGGCCAAGGACAGCACCTGGAAAACCCCTGGCTTGAATCTACACAATCTGAGTTCACTTCACCGTCATGAAGAATGAAATGAAGCCGGGCGTTGGTGGTGCACGCCTTTAATCCCAGCACTCGGGAGGCAGAGGCAGGCAGATCTCTGTGAGTTCAAGGCCAGCCTGGTCTCCAGATCGAGTGCCAGGATAGGCTCCAAAGCCACAGAGAAACCCTGTCTCGAAAAACCAAAAAAAATTAAAAAAGAATGAAATGAAGACAGAAAGCCTGTCCTGAGTTAAAGATGAAAACCCTGGGAAGGAAAGAGTAGACGCTAGACATGTCTGAAGTCTCTAATCCTCACCTGTAAAACAGAAGGCGTTAACTTTCACTCACACCTCATGCAGTAATAGAGACCAAACTCAGGGTTTCATGCATGTTGGATCAGCACTCTCCCACTCTCCCAAATCTTCAGCCCTACCTCATCCTTCTAAAGGATCTAAAAGTAAAAATAGATGCTGGAGACTGAAGACATGGCTAGAGGTGGATGTGTTTAGCCTACTGAAGGTCCTGAGTTCACACACCAGCACCAGTAAAAAAGCACTCCAGCCTTAGGAAGCAACTTTACTTCACATCACTACTTCCCAGTGTTTACAAAACAGCACTCTAAGGAAGTTTAGTGGCTGTGTCTCAAGTGTGCATGTGTGTCTGTCTGTAGTTTTAAAAGAAATGATATGCACCCCACTCTAAAAAAGCAAGATGTCACATCATAAACTTTAAGACTAGTTTACTAAAATTTGTTTATTGTGGTGCTAACTTTTTTATATGGTTGTTCTGCATTTCTCATGAAAGTTAAAATTCCAAGTAGTCCTGAATAACCCTCATTTTCAATGCAGTACATAGATGACTACAGTTCCTGACTATTCACAGTACCCGTGCACTTCTACCTGCCAGACAAAGAGCACGGCAGCCTATCAACAGTGTCCCAGACCTCCAGTTCTTATTACTACCCCGTAAATGTCAACAGAGCAGCTAAAAAGCCTACATGGAACTGAACCACATGAAGAAACAGCCATGGAAGCTTGTGTGCATCACAGTAAAAATACAGACTATTTATTTATTCATTTTTATCCACTAGGGAGAACATGCTGTTCTCAGACAAGTGAGTTATCAGTTGTCAGGTGTTGCTTTTGGAGAATAATCAATGAATTCCTTCTCAGGGGTTGGATACTGAAACCAGGGCCCATCACCCCGGGAACGCATCAGTCTTCGAACTTCAAGCTCCTTCTTCCTGAAACAAAGGGAATAATAACAGTGTGAGAACAGACACAGAAGCAGGTGCAGCTACTACAGCAGTCAGCACAGAGGTTCTCAGAAAACAAAACAAGCACCACAGGACACAGTTATACTGCTCATGGGTCTAAGTCAGCAGACCAGACACATAGCTGACCATCCATGTTCACAATGGTTAAGATATGGAAGTGGCCTAGCCATCCATCAATAGATGAATGGATAAAGAAAATTTGGTACATGTACACAATGGAATTCTATTCAGTCACAAAGAAAAACACAATCACGCCTTATGCAGAAAAACGCATAAAGCTGGAGATCATCATGTTAAGTGATAAAGGCAGACAAGCATGACATGTCTTCTCTCTTATGTGGAATCCAGAGTTCATACATACTGATATATACAGATATACACAGGATATAAAAGCAGATGGAGAACTACTAGGGGCAGAAAGGGGCCAGCTGAAGGGAGGAAGGAAGGCAGGAAGAGATCAGGAGGAGGAGAGAGGACAAGAGAAGGTAAATGGTAGGTAAAGATGAGTAATACACACTGAAATATGTTTATACAGATGCCATCAGGAAAACCATTATTTTATACACTAAAATTTTAAAAAAAATGAAAAAGAAAACAATCTGATAATCCTAGCTACAGATTTGATCATTGTATACATGAGTGTCTGGCTCCTATGCACACAGCCACATGGAAACAGACATCCACTAGACATCTACAAACAAAGTCAGGGATTCATGACTTTGACCATGTCACTTATGTAGTTAAAGCATCAATTACATCATCACACACCCTGTTCCGTGGCTGTGTGACAATGCCTGTCTGTCTTCCTACCATCTCATTGTTAGTACAACTGGCTAGAGAATACCTATTAATGTTCCCATGTGAGAGTCCTATGCTGTGGGGTGACATGACTGCCCTTGTGGAGGGCCTGCTGCTATCAATGTTAGGAAAGTGAACTTCTGAATGGCCTCCATTTGACATCCTCAACCCAGAGCCCCACTTGGCTGTCATCCTTTAATCTGGGTGATCTCGACTACACAAGATGCCTTCCTGTGCTTCATCCAAGGCCACTTCTCCATCAACCCTTGACCTTCTGAAATACAGAAACTAATCTTTTTATCACCGGAAATGTGCAACTATATAGCCATGTCATAAGCATTAACCAGCTTTCTAACCTTACTTATGAGATTATATACGTTTGTAACCGTGACCTAAAGACTAAATATAATCCTTTTTTCCCTACTCTTTTAAATACAATTACACAAAACGTGTAACTATAGTGATTGAGGAGAAAGAGTTCATAAATTTGAGAAGGAGAGGGGGGCATGGGAGAAGTTAGAGTGAGGAGAGGAAGGGGGTAGAAATGATATAAATATAGCACTCATGTAGAAAGTTCTTATAAAAATAAGATACAGCCAAAAAACAAAACAAAAAACCCAAGGCTGAAGAAATGGCTCAGTCACTAAAGTGCTGGTCTTGCAAGAATATGATTTCAGCCTGAAAACCCATGTAAAATCATCTGGGCTCATATTCCAATGCTGAAGATGTAGAAACAGATCGTGGGCTTGCTAACCAGCTGCCAGCCTAGTTACTTAACAAGCTCCAGGTCAGTGAGAGACCCTGTCTCAAAATTAAAAACAACAAAAAAAAGGTATACAGAGGGAGAATACCCGAGATTGCTCTCTGGCTTCCTTAGGCATACACCCCCACCACATACACACAGCTATATACACACTTATACATATACCCACACACAGACACAACAACAACAACAACAAATCAGAACCAAACAAAGAAAAAACAAAACTAAGGCAATCCCTGAACTGAGAGAAGCCCAGTATTCCAGGCACACATCATCACAGACATATCCTTAGCTGAAAGGTACAGTGCTAAGCAGGGTCTGTATGAGGGCCGTATCTGCACTGATGTAACTTAACATTAGACAAGTATTTTCTAAGAAACAGGTTCACAGGGTTAAAGATGGTAGGTGTTTTTTTTTTTTTTTTTTTTGGTTTTTCGAGACAGGGTTTCTCTGTGTAGCTTTGGAGCCTATCCTGGCACTCGCTCTGGAGACCAGGCTGGCCTCAAACTCACAGAGATCCGCCTGCCTCTGCTTCCCCAATGCTGGGATTAAAGACGTGCGCCACCAACACAAGGCTACATATGGTAGTTTCTAATGGCTGTATAGGGCAGTTTCTAAAGATGTGGGCCAGAGGAAATCAGATGTGCAGAGTGCGCCACTATGTGCACAGAGCAGCTTATTGAAGAGTTCCTTTCCAGGGCAGCAGTGATGGCTCAGCAGCTAAGAGCACTACTGCACTGATGTCTGGTGGCTCACAAAGGCCTGTCACTCTAGCTCCAGAAGATCGGATGCCCTCTTGTGACCTCCATGGGCCTGCATACACATAATGAACACATGTACACAGAGACATATACCCATAACCAGAAAATAAAAAAGAAGAACATTCCTTTTGATATGAGCGATCATCTCCCCAGTCAGCAGCACAGTCCTCCCTCCTACCAGGTGAGCCCTCTCCCCAGCGTCATGCTCTATTAATCCTTCCCATCCCTTTCTCCTACCGTAATTCAGCCTTTTCAGATTCAATCTGGAGGATAGCCATGGTTTTTTCATAATTCTTTTCGGGGCAATCATAGAAAGTTCGGGCAATCCATCTTGATATTGGATGCTAAGGAAATATTGATTTAAAATCAATTATCTTCGAAGGATGTTTGTTTTTCTGGTTGACTACTGTTTGAAATGACTAAAACACTATCTCCCAACAACTTCCACATTTTTAAACAATTTTAACCACTAGGTTCACACTATTTTCCCCCACCTTTGAGATAAGCACCAAGGTAGTAGCATTTGGCCAGAGCCTGTGTACTCCCTTTACTGCACTGAGGGGCTGCAGCTCAAGGGCAGCGCAGGGTAGGGCAGGGCAAGAGGCAAACTAAATTCTACTGATCCAAATGCAAATACCTTTCCACCAGACTGCAGAAATAAGCATAGTCATAATTTTTAATGAAAAAGTACCAAGAATCAATACATATAAAAAATTAAAAAATATTGTGGGCCAGAAAGATGGCTGAACAGTTTCTTGCAGAGGATCTGGGTTCAATTCCCAGCATCCACTTTTTGGCTCATAACCTTTAGTAACTCCAATTTCAGGGGATCTGATACCCTCTTCTGGCCCCCTTGGGTACTAAGCACACATGTGGAGCATGTTCATATATTTAGGCAAAACACCCAACCATAAAATAAATCTAAAAAAGAATTTTTAAGTTAAAATGTATCATCTAATTGACGTGAAAAACTATATAATAATTGCCTAATTTACCACAACATTAACAAGCTATCCAATAAGAATTTTAAAGAGCTATTTGAACCTTGTAATACTCCCAGTGTTCTGGGATGTAGCCTTCTGGGATTTCTGCAAGTTCAGCTTCACCTAATTGGAGAAAATGACAATGGCGCTCGGTTAGCAGCACTGACAGTCACCAGCCCCACACCAGCTCGTCCACAGCAGTCAGCAGTCAGCTTCTCATGGTTCCAAGAGCTGCTCCCTCTAATGCACTACAGTACTGGGGGAAGATCAGTCCCTCACGAGGGTTTCCAGCATCTCAGCAGAACTTCCCATGTTGCTCTTATGCAAGACATAGTATAAGACACACTTTTTATTTTTTGTTCCTCTCTGTATCAACCAGACAGAATATTCTAAGACTCAAGACAATTCAGCATTTAAGATACTGCTCAGAAGATCTTTTACCCCACACTGTTATTTATTTTTCTGATCCGGCTTGTCAAAACTGGTTTTGGAAAAGGAGATGAAGTGGTTCGAAGAAGAATGATTCCCTAGGCTCATATGTAGCTGAACTGTTTGAAAGGATTAGAAGGATTAGAGGGTGTGAGGTTTCAAAAGTCCACACCAGGCCCAGCTTCTCTTTCTGCTTACGGATGCAGGACCATCTTGTTACTGCTCCAGCACCGTGCCTGCCACTGTGCTCCCACTATAATAATGGGCTAAACCTTCGGAACTGTAAGCAAGCCTCCAACTCAATGCTTTCTTTTATAAGAGTTGCCATGGTCATGGTATCTCTTCACAGCAATAGAACAGTGACTAGGGGAGAGATGGAAGATAAGGTTTCAGAAGCCACCACCTCTGTAGAAATGTCCCCACAGGTGCACATGCTATTTTAAAGGTCCCAGAGCTTTTAGGAGGTAGGACATGGAGGGAGGAATTAGTGTCTAGGAGCAGCATTTAAAGGTCAAGACCACCCTGGTTCCAGAAAGCTTCCTCTGCTTCCTGGTACCCCTCCCACTCTAGCATCCACCTCATGGCAGAACAATGGCTCCTGAAACCATAACAAAATGCCACCTTCCTTCCTTAGACAGTCTGTGTTAAATTGTTGGTCACAGCAATGTGAAAAGTAACTAATGTAAATGTTCATAATTTCCTTCTTAAAAATTTTGTGTATATCATTTCACGGAGTGAGACCTAGATGAGGGACTTACCAATAAATATATTCACCATCGTTATGCCAATTACAACTGGAATCCCAGTCAACAAAATGTAGAATCTCTATGAAAAGAAAAAACAAAAAGGTTTCTCATGCTCTTTCCTACTTCTCCCACCAGAATTATCCTCATTCAATTTCCTTAATGTCCTCACTAAAAACAAACATGTCAATTTGGGAATCTGAATTACTAATTTCTGTCACATTCCTCTGATTTGGTTCTTAAACACAAACTATTTAGTACAGTACAATATATATGAAAAAGCTTAGATCTCTTGGTTAAAGCAACACAACAAAGAAAATTCTGTATTGGAACAAAGTATGAAAATAATAGCATTTTAGCCACTGAATGTCACTGGAGTTGGTCATGATAAGAAAAGAGGACATCCACTTGGTGTGACAGCACACATGTGGGGAATCCAGCACTCAGGAGGTAGAGGCAGGAGGATCAGGAGTTAAAGGTAAGCATTGGCTACATAGCAAGTTTGAGGCCAGTTTGGGATAACAAAAGGTCCTGTGTCAATTCAAAATAAATAAATAAATAAATAAATAAATAGAAATAAAAGAGGGCTAAGGAGAGGCAGTGAGAGCAGTAGGAGGGAGAGGGGATCTTGGGTGGCTCTGTTGATGAGCATTTCCAGGGCAATGGCAGAGTCCAACAACTCTTCATTTTTAAGCTTCTGGTCGGTACTCTTTTAGAACATGAGATAGACAAGTAGCATTCCAAATAAGCAGATTATTTGTACTACTGCTAAATTAAGAATGCCACCTTAAAACTAGTACTCAAATAGCATGAATTTAAAAAAAAAATCACATCCTAAATTAGAGGTGCTTCACTATAAGTCTTCCAGTGGGTCTTTTGCTAATCACAACTGTCTTAGTGATACAAATAACCAGCTGACTGGCTCAGCTTTTAAGTTCTGAAACCTTCAGTTTTTCATGGTGCTGGGAATGGACCATAGGGCTGAGGCAAATATGCACTGAGCAACCATTACCCTTGAAGAGGAAACACACATTGGACTTCAGACCCCATAACTCTGAGCAGAAGGAATAGCTGGCACTTGACCTGCAGTCAGCATGAACCCTTGTTTTGAAAAAAGGGTTCTAACTAACTTTAAAAAATTCAGTAGCAAATCAAGACCTTACTACACAATCTCAGTATCTCCTGGGGTGAGGGGTAGTAATTTTAAAATGAAAGATGTCTCCTAAATAGGAATATCTCCCCTCCCCCAAATTTTGGAGTTAAGACTATTTCAACTTACCAGTAACTTTAAAAAGCGATCGTCATAGTATGAAGAAGACTTGATGACAAACAGTCTCTTGCCATGGTCCCCACTGTGCCGCACAGGAGCTGCAAATGTGAGACTGTTTAACAGGGCTCATGTAGGGGGTGGGCAGAGAAGACCATGGGACACTGTGGGTAAATGTGCTTTGCTTACACATCAGAATGGGTAGGACAGGGTTCAAACACTGACAGGCTGCTCTCAAAGATAGCTGTTGCTTTGTTTTCTTTTCATTTTTAGGAGTAACAGGTGAAGCCCAGTCTTCACACACATGGTAAGTGTTCCACAGTTACAGTGCTGCTCACTTCAATTCCTGTAGCAGCATCGAGCAATCATGCAGTGTACCTTAGAAGCAGGCAGGGAAGGCAGACACTCCTGACAAGCTGTTCACCTTTGTTTCTCCGACAATAAACACACTACCACTACCTAAAAATCAAGGTTGAAGGATGCCTCTTAACACAAGAAAGTGGAAGGCAGGAAGGTGCTGCAACACAGATGGTCAGGACTGGCAGTATCTATTCCAATCTCCAGCAGAAACTTGATTATTACAGACTACACACTAGTGTGTGTGTGTGTGTGTGTGTGTGTGTGTGTGTGTGTGTGGTGTGCGCTCTGGGCTAAACTCAGTCCTATCAACTATCCTGATCTACTTCAGAGCAGTCAACACCCCACAGCCCTAGGTCTCTGTTTGCTGATGCAGGAGGGTATCTGCTCACACTCTGAAAACACTAGGATGAGCACAGCTTACAGGCCTCAGTCTTCAATAAATGATTGTTTTTAATTTTAAAATCATAATTTTTTAGGTGTGGGTGGGTATATGCAGGTGAATGCAGTTGTCTATGGAGGTAAGAGCCATGGTGTCCTATAGTGGGAATCTAGTAGACTCACTGTATCCAGGGTAAACAGAATATAACAGTTGTTTCTCACAGTATCTAGGGTAACAGCAGAATGTATTAGTGTTTGTTGAAGGTACCTACACCTTGAAGAAATCATAGTAGAGAACTATGACTGTTTTCTATGATTTATTGAGATGTTTTTCTGAGGAAGTTTTCCATCCATTGTAGGACTTTGGTCACAAAACTATGCAGGCACACTTGGAGGTCTTGAATTATTGGGTACTGCTGATAGTACACAATAAGGACTAAGGTTGTGGGGGGTGTGATGATTTCCTTCAGAGAACATACAGAATAGCTCAAAGGGACTTTGGTATGAGGAACTTGTGCCCCAAACACAACCTTTGTGTAAATCAATAAGTATACTTCTGAACAGAGGTTCGAGGTTCAGTTCACAGAAACTGTTCCTCCCTGCTGCCAGAGATCCTAACATTACATTCTGGGGTGACTCTCCTGCTTTGAATGGCCTGCACAACACAAAACACCTGACAGGGTCCCTCTGAGTAATAGGCTGTTGTAAGATATGCAATGTGGGTACTGGGTACTGAACCCAGGATTTCAGAAAGACCAGCACTATTAACCACAGAGCCATCTCTCCTGCCCCCTGCAATAAATGGTTTTTAAATATGCAAATCACTCAGGAAAGTTATTTAGAGTTTTCTGACTGTAACTGATATCAAGATTAAGACAATATAGCTAACTTTCTGCTTGTGTTTCAAACAATCAAAAACTGGTTATTCATTTATTGTCTTTTTCTGTATTCTCAGTTAAAAGCACCATTTTAATTACCTGGTCCAAAAATCTAAGTCCTCCTGCCAGTCTTTCATCACTTATCCATGACATATCAAAAATGATCCTGAGAAGGGCTAGCGAGGTAGCTCAGAATGGAAGGGCATTTTTTACCAAGCTTGATAACCTGAGTTTGTCCCCAAATCCCACATAGTAGAAGAACTGATTCCCACCAGTTACCCTCTGACCTCTACATGTATAGGCACTTAGGCTTTGTCTAGGTCCTCCTCCACCCCAATCAGGTCCTAACCACCTTCGGCCCCACTCTCTCAACACCTAGGTCTTCCAAAAGCCCTGCATCCAGACACCAGAAAACCCACCACTACTTCTGCTAGTTTCCCTTGTTAAAATGATTCTCATATTCATTTTACACATTGTATATCCCTGGTCTGAGTTCACAGTACTTTGTTCATATATCTGTGATACATTAGCTTTAGAATCAAAAGGAGTTCAGTGTTTCCCATTCATACAGGCTCTTGTGTATGAGCCTGTGGCAAAGCATGATGGGGAATATGTAGCATAATAAACTGCTCATCTTCTAGAGGCCAGGAAGCAGACAGAGGAAGAGAAGGGGCTGGTACCCCAAATATTCCCTTCAAGGGCACAACTTCAATGACAAGAAGATGTTAGATTGGAATTACACTCTCAGATGCTCAATCCAGCTACTTGAAGGATTGGGGCAGGAACATCACAGGTTCAGTGCTGTGGAACAATCTTTGTACACTGTAAATATGTATTATTCTCATTGGTTAATAAAGAGCTGACTGGCCTATAGCTGGGCAGGAAGTGATTGAGCAGGAGAGTCAGACTAGGAGGACACTGGGAAGGACAGAGTCTGAGAGTCACCAGACAGACACAGAAGAAGCAGGATGTGCATAAAATGAGGTAACAAGTCATGGGCAGCATGGCAGCAAGCAAATAAATAGATATGGGTTAATTTAAGTTGTAAGAGCTAGTTAGTAACAAGTGTAAGCTAAAGGCCAAGTTTTCACAATTAATAATAAGTCTCTGTGTTGGTTATTTGGGAACTGGCAGGTGGGAAAGAAAAGTCTGCCTACAATTCAAAGCCAGCTTGTGATGCAGAGTGTATTCAAGACCAGCCTGGGCAACTTAGCCAGGCTCTGTCTCAAAATTTCATAAAGAGAAAGAAAAAAGAGGGCTTAGGGATGCAGCCCAGGGAAAAGAACTCAACTGAACAGCATATGCAAAGGCTTGTATTTCATCAGCAGTACCAAAGCAGCAAATAAATTAAAAGGCAAATTTCATGCTGTGTGTATTTTATAATTTGTTTTAGAAAGACTAATGCATGGGTGCAGGTACATGGGTACAGATACATGGTACATGGGAACAGATGAATAATGCATGGGTACAGGTGCATGGGTGCAGAAGTGTAATGCATGGATACAGGTGCATGGGTGCAGGTGCGTAATGCATGGATGCAGGTGTATGGTGCATGGGTGCAGATGCATAATGCATGGAATCAGGTGCATGGTGCTAGAAACATTTCCTACGCAACACTTCACAACACCGTGGCATCTATGATGATCATCTTCTAGATGAGGAAATGAAGATCATGGCCAAGTGCCTTCCACTTTAGCTTCCAAGAGGTGTTGACTCAAGGTCATAGAGCTTCTAAATTCTGCAACCAGGATTTGAATCTAGGCAGTCTAGTGCCAGAGAAAAGAAGATGGGGGCAGGGCTTAACAATCTTTCTGGGATCCTCAAGGAAATGGTGGAAGAGATGAAAACTTTCACGAGACAATGACACAGTATGCCTATGAAAGCAGTGATACAGCGAAACAATCACTATCAGAACAAGCAGCTAGTAGACATTCCCTTTCTCATTAGAAAGGACATCTACTCCCTATGATCCTCTCAAAACTGCAGGAGTGGGAAATAGTACAGAAAGAGGAAAAAATGGTTTGCACAAAGATTTTACTAGGTAGAGTTAGCACATGGAGTTTGCATGAAGTTTAAATTCCTGCTGGAAATTTTTAAAGCACTGATCTTTTCTAGCATATCCGGAAGGTCTCTATGCATACTGGATGTTTAGAGATTGGAGAGAATGTTTTTTGGTTTTAGGGTAAAATTTTCATTTCTCTGTACTGCACAAGGCAAATAAACAGTGTATCTCTGACCAAGGAGATTAAATGATTTAATACTTAAAACAGTGCCTGGCACTTAACAGATAGATGCTCGATAAACATTGGCCACCACTATTGCTAATGTAGTAGAGTGGTGTATTATTTTTTCACATTAATTCTGTTTTTTTGCTTTTGTAAAATGAGGGAGTAACATTGCATTTACTTTCCAGAGTCTTTGGAGAGAGGAAATAGATGGAATACTAAAGCTATGTTTACTCTTCTAGAAAGCAGAAGGACCGGGGCAGGTTTCTAGGCCATCACTATGACTGTCCTCAGACTTGAGCTCTTTAGTCCTCTTAGGCTCCTTTCTAGGAAGTGGTTCTCAACTTTCCAACTGCTGTGACATTCTAATGCAGTTCCTCATGTTATGGTGACGCCCCCAACCATAAAATTATTTTTGTTGCTACTCCATTATTGTAATTTTGCTAGATATGAATCTTAATGTAAACATCTATTTTCCGATGGTCTTAAGAGACCCCTGTGACGTCTGAAGTCGTGACCCACAGGTTGAGAACCACTGCAAGATAGTAAAATTACGACTGCATTAAGAAACAACAGATACAATCTGAGCTGAACTCATCATCACACATTCATTAACACTATAGTATTTTTTTAAAAAACAAACATTTTCGTGGACTTCTAAAACGTCGTGAGCTACGCGGGCAGAGTTACTGCAGTGCCTAATGGAGCTGTCACCTGGAGCCTTTTTCCAGTCGTGCCTATGAACATTACAGCCTTCACTTCAGTGCGCTTCCCAGCAACTTCCTATCTGCGGGTTAGAACCAGCGGCAAGTGCCACCTATCCAGATTGCGCCGAGAGCCGGGCGAAGTGGCGCAAGCCTATAATCCCAGCCCTCGGGAAATGAGGCCGGAGGGTGGCAAGTCCGGACCTCCGGGGTCGCACTAGCCGCCGAGACCTTGGCTCAATGCGTTGCCCTTGGAGACGCGGGCCGCAGCTCCACGCCGGTCTAGCCCGGCCGCAAGTAAGCAGCACCCGGCACGGTGAGCGACAACGTGCTTCACAAAGCTAAAACAAGGCCATGGATTTCTGCAGCAGCCCCTCACACAGCCAGCGCCGCGCCTCCTCTAGAAACCCCAGGCCAACTTTGTCCCTGCTCCCTTCCCTCAGAGGTCCCCAAGGTCACCTGGAAACAGCCCTCCCACCTCTCACCCGCGTCTCCAAGGCCTGCACCCACCGACAATCTTCGGAAAGGTCCGTGTGAGAAAACTTCCGACTCCGAGTCTAGTGCCAGCACGGCGGCCAGACAGCGCTGTCAACGCGGAGACCGAAGCCCGCTGCAGCAGGCTCATGGCCGCCATGGCTACTCTCGGCACGGGAGGAAATGGAGTGAGCAACGGGAGCCGGGAGGGACAATCCGCCTATGACGGCGAAAGCTAGAGGCGGCCATGTTGAGTAAGGGCAGCGGTCCGGTTCCTGTTCGCTTCATATGTAGGCGCTCGCGGACAGAAGTGACGACATCGTAGG